GTTCACCACGCAAAGTCAAGTCTCCTCCTGTCACCATTTATTCCCCCGTTTACCTTCTTGTACCTCCCCTGCCCCCCTTCCCTCTGGTAATTACCATCCTGTTGTGTGTCTTGAGTTTTTTTGGTTTTGTTTTGCTTAATCCCTTCACCTTTTTCACCCAGCCTCCCAACCCCCCCTCCTGATAGCTGTCAGTCTGTTCTCTGTATCTATGAGTCTGTCTCTATTTTGTTAGTTTATTTTGTTCATTAGGTTCCACATGTAAGTGAAATCATACGTTATTTGTCTTTCTGTGACTGGCTTAACTTAGCATAATGCTCTCCAGGTATGTCCATGCTGTTGCAAAAGGTAAGATTTCCTTCTTTTTTATAGCCGCACAGTGTTCCATTGTGTAAATGTACCACAGCTTTTTTATCCACTCATCTATGGATGGGAACTTGGGCTGCTTCCAAGTCTTGGCTATTGTAAATAACGCTGCAATGAACATAGAGGTGCATATATTCTTTGTAATTAGTGTTTTGGGTTTCCCAGAAGTGGAATTGCTGGGTCATAAGGCAGTTCCATTTTTAAATTTTTGGAAACTCAGAAATTTTGAACCTTTGAACACTTATAATTTGTCTTAAACTGACAAGGTTCTCAAAGGTGAGAGAGGATGACTTTTTTGTTTTCTTTCCAAGTGATGTTAACACATATTGAATATGTCCCTTTAGGTATATAGAAGTAGCCTCATTCTTTTTTGGTGCCTTATCAGCTTATATTTGAAAGTCTATTTGTTAACATGTAATAATTTATCTTTTGGACTCAAGACAATTCATGAAAGTTTTTTGTTTGTTTTTTAAATATATCTTTATTGATTTCAGAGAGGGAGGGAGAGGAAGAGAGAGAGATAGAAACATCAATGATGAGAGTGTTGTCATTGATCGGCTTCCTCCTGCACGCCCCCAACTGGGGATCTAGCCCAGAACCTGGGCATGTGCCCTGACAGGGAATCGAAACACAGTCTCCTGGATCCTAGGTCAGTGCTCAACTGCTAAGCCAGGCCCGGCCGGGCCATGAAGGGTTTTTTTGAGTGTTTTTGCTTACTATTTTTTTAATTGTGGCAATGTATATAAAACACAAAATTTGCCATTTTTACCTGTGATATACAATTCAGTGGCATTAGATTCATAATGTCGTATAGCAAATATCACTATTCCCAAAATTTTTCATCACTCCAAACAAAAACTATACCCACTAAGAAAGAACCCCCGCCCGGCCGGACGTGGCTCAGCGGTTGAGCATCAACCTAGGATCTAGGAGATCAAGGTTCAATTCCCGGTCAGGGCAGATGCCCAGGTTCTGGGCTAGATCCCCAGTTGGGGGCGTGCAGGAGGAAGCCGATCAATGACAACACTCTCATCATTGATGTTTCTATCTCTCTCTCTCTCTCCCCCTCTCCCTTCCTCTCTGAAATCAATAAAAATTAAAAAAAATAACAACCCCTTTTTCCCCCATACCTCAAATCCCTAATAACCTCAGAAATACTTTTTGTCTCTGAACTTGTATAGTCTAGATATTTCATACAAGTGGAATCTTACTATGTTTGTCCTTTTGTGTCTGACCTGTTTCACTTAGCGTAATGTTTCCAAGGTTTACTGATGTTGTAGCATGTCTCAGAAGTTCCTTTTTCCATGGCTGAAGAAGATCCCAATGCGAGCGTACCACATTTTGTTTATCCACTCACCTGTTGATGGACCGGATTTTCCTCCCTTTTTGCTATTGTGAATAACGCTCCTATGAACATTGGTGAGCAAGCTTATGTTTGAGGCCTTGTTTCCCAAATTCTTCGGGTTTATATACTTGGGAGTGGAATTGTTGGGTTATTTAGTAAATCTCTGTTGAACTTGTTGAGGAACCTCCAGAGCAACTGCACTATTTATCATTCCCAATGGTAATGTGTGAGGGTTCCAATTTCTCCTCATAGCCAACACTTGTTTTCATTATTATTATATTCATTCTAATAGGTATAAAGTGGAAACTTGTGGTTTTGTTTTTCATTTCCCTAATAACTACGGATGTTGAGCATCTTTCTTGTGTTTATTGGCTATTTGTATATCTGCTTTGGAGAAATGTTTATTCAAGTCCTTTGCCCATTTTTAAATTGTATTGTCTTTTTGTTGTTGAGTTGTAGGAGTTTTTTGTGTATTCTAGATATTAGACCCTTATGAGGTACATGATTTGCAGTTTCTTCCAGTCTGTGAATTGTCTTTTACTTTCTTGATGGTGTCATTTTGATACGCAGAAGTTTTAATTGTAATGAGATCCAGTGTATCTGTTTTATTGTTTCTGCTCTTGGTGGCATATTTGAGGAACTATTGCTGAATCCAAGGTCATGAATATTTTCCTGTTTTAAGAGTTTTATACTTCTAGTGCTTGCATTTAGGGCCCTGATCTATTTAATTTTGGTATATGGTGTAAAGTGAAGATCCAGCTTCATTGTGCATATGAATAACTAGTTTTCCCAGCACTGTTTGTTGATTCTCCTTTTCCCACTGGTCTTGGCACTCTTGTTGAAAATCAATTGACCGTAGATGTGAGGGTTTATTT